TTAGAAGGGGGAGGAGGAGGAGGAGGACGAGGAGGAGGAGGAGGAGGACGAGGGATGAAAAACATGCGATCCCGGTGTTATTTTCCTCGTCTGTCCGGCTAGCCAGGCAGTGGGGAGGGGGGCGGAGCGGTGGTAGTGAGGAGGGGATGGAGGAGATGGATAATACGGAGGAAGGGGAATAGGTGCAGGAGAAGAGGGAGGAGGAGGAGCGGGGTGGAGCGAGAGGAGGAGGTTGAGGTCTGGTGTGTCTTTAAGACGAATCTGCGCGGCGCCAAGGCGACTGTCACATTTTGCAAACGACCCTTCCTCCATCCGTGAACTTGTTGTATCTTGCCGTGTGTCGATCACGGGCGGTTGTATCTTGCCGTGGGTCGATCACGACTTGCCTGCGGCTGGTGCCCTGGAAGGCCTTTTGGGGCCATCTAGGAGAGCATCGATCAAAAGATGGGGAGTCCTTGATTTCGGCCCCTTCCCAGGAGCCCTCAAAATCGCATCTTGGAGCTCTCCCGGGGCTCTTTGGGAGGGTATTGGAGTTCTCTTGGGGCTCGGTTAGGGGTCTTGGGGCCCTCTTGGGGCCCTCTTGGGGCTCTCTTGGGGCCCTCTTGGGAGCCCTGGAAGGCCTCCTGGGGCCATCTTGAAGGCCATCGACCAAAGGAGGAGATGGTTCAGCCCCCCCCAACGAGGCCAACATGGGGCCAACTCCTTAGTAACTCCAATGATGTTGGCTTCCTCGCCGAGGCCGTTTTGGACGCCCTGACACCTCGCGGAACCCCCAACAAAATCCAGGGGGAGGGGGGAGGGGGAGAGGTAAACCCCTCCACGTACTGGAAGAGTGTATTTTTTTGGAAGAGGGAAGAGGAATCTCGTTAGACCACCTGCGCTCAGAGGGCTGGTGGGATTGTCCAGGCCACCGAGGGCGGTATGCAACATGGTTGCCCTGAGGAGAGAACACATATACTTCCGTGTCTAGGCCACCCAAGGGTGTATCGAACATGGTTGCCCCGAGTTGGAACCGCGTGTTCTCACGTGTCCAGGCCCCTTCTGAGAGTTTCTAGCATGGTGGTCCCGAGGTGGAACCACGCGTTTCCCTGATAGCGTGTCGTTGAAGGGTTTTTGCAAGTGGTCAAACATCGCACCAGACCGCTGGACGCAGGTGGTTAACGAGATTCCTCGTCCCTCTTCCAAGAAAAAAAACCCTTCCCCTACGGGGAGGGGATTGCCCCTCCCCCTACCCCCTCCCCGTGGACTTCTTTGGTGGGTTCCGCGAGGTGTCAGGGCGTCCACAACGGCCTCGGCGAGAGGAGGCCACAATCATTGGTTTTACTAAAGTTTTGGCCCCATGTTGGCCGCGTCGGGGGGGGTCTGAACGTTACACCATCTCCTTCTTTGGCCGATGGCCTTCAGGGTGGCCCCAAGAGGCCTTCCAGGGCTCCCAAGAGGGCCCCAAGAGAGCCCCAATAGGGCCCCAAGAGGGCCCCACGACCCCTAAAAGAGCCCCCAGCAGAGCTCCAATACCTTCCCAAAGAGCCCCAGGAGTGCTCCAAGATGCGATTTTGAGGGCTCGTGGGAGGGGGCCAAAATCGAGGACCCCCATCTTTTGATCGATTCTCTTCCTCCTCCTCTTCCTCCTCCTCCTCTTCCCCTCGCCCCCACGCGGCCCCCAGGGATGGCCCGAAGAGGCCTTCCAAGGACAACCCCTTGCTCCCAGAGATCTCTCGGTTCATCCTGGTTGCTCGCTTTGCTTCCCTAGATGTGTCCTTTCGTCCCTTTTTCCCGTCAGCTCTCGTGCGCAGGGCTTCTGAATGGGCTGGTGGGGATACTTTTTAGTCAGCGGCCGCAGGCGAAGGCGTGGCCAGTCAGAGCGGGGCGCGCAAAGACGAATTAACCTAAAGCCAATGGGCCCAAGCCTCACGCGGCACCTCGGCGGCCAGGCCGGCGAGTGGAGGCAGGCTGCTGACGGCGGCTGCCAGGGTAGCTGCACTGCCAGGGGTGCACGCATGCATCGAGCTACGGGGGGCGGGCAGGAACAGAGCGACGGGCGAGGCGACACCTAAGCGCGGCCGAGGCCTCAGATGGGGAGCTGCCGGGACTGAGCTGAGGGGAATTGCCGCGTGCACAGCTGCAAATGGTGGGGATATTGTTTTGTCGCAGCCGCAAGCGAAAGCGCAGGCGGCGAGTAAGTAAGATCGAGGCGCGGTCCCTACAAATTATACAGCGACAAGCAAGCCAAGGCGCGGTCCGAGCGCGCGATCAGAACCTACCGCTGGGATGGTGGGGATACGCGAAACGTGAAGAATTCAAAGATTCCCCTCAAATCGCAGATCCAGAAATGAGACTGAATTCTGTGTGTTGGCTCGATTTCACCCCTTGCAGCTCTAGAAGACTCACTCGGTCGTTCTGGTTCGATTTTGTCAAGAAATGACTTGCTCCGCAACTCACTGCTGCCGCTGCTGCTACTGCTGCTGCTGCTGCGGCTGCTGCGCGTGTTGTTGCCGTACCGGCTCGAGGCTTTGTCGTCCAGGCGAGGGCCATGATTGCGCTTGCGTGGGTTGTGGATCTCTCGCCCTCGCCAGATGCGGGTTTTTCTTCCAGTGGCGTGTACCTGGCAGGCACGTCCTTCGGCGCCCCAGCCCATCCATCCTGCCGACAGAGAAGATTTGGGCTTGGAGGTAGTGGGTGCCTACAGTTTGGGCGTCCACCGCATCCATGAGCGCTTGTGGATCCACATTTCTTCGCACTGGCGGAACCAAGCCGCGGCGATGCTTCTCAGCTTGCCGCAAGGGCCGCGCCGCCGCCTCCCGGGGGCCGCGGGGGCAGGCGGACAGCCTCGGGCAGCGGAAGCGGCTGCCGCGCTGGCGAAGGTTGACGGCGGAGGCGTTCGGTGCCCCGCAATGATCGAGCGAGCTGGTCCCGATCCCGAACCGGAGCGCCGCCCGCGGAAGTTGCGGCGCTGCTAAACCTGCGCCGCGGCCACTCCGCGAGCGCGCACGCGGCTCCAACGGCGGCGCTATTATTCAGCTTGCCATTCGAGGGAGCCTCCGCTGCGAGGCGCGATGTCGCCCGATTTGTTGAAGACACCGACGCGCCCGTTCAAATGACGAGCGGCCTCACGATGCTCTCGCGCTTGACGCGGGAGGCTCTGCGAAAACAGCGTTTGACAACATGAGGGGCCAGGCCATGCTACAGCGCGGCAGCGAGAGGCGCATAGGCCACAAACGACGTTCCTCCTCGCGCCAAGCGTTCGTCCGCAAGCGCGCGAGGCCGCTTTCCACTGCGTCTCCGCATGTTTCCTGGGGGACAAGTGATGCGCTGGCAACTGCATGTTCCAGCGTCGCCAACTGGTCACTTCGACCGCATCCCCCAGCAGCTTGCCAGACCGGCCGGCCTTCCGTAGCCTGCCGTTCCAGAGGAGGCCAGCAGGCGCGTCGCTCTGAAGCGCGCCAAGACACGCCCCAAGGCCCGCCGTCACCAGGCGCGCCGCGCGCGGCGGTGCTCGTGGCCAGCGGCGCGAATTCATCGAAAGAGCATTCGGGGGCCCAGGACACAAGACCACTGCCGGCCAGCTCAAAGACAACTCAAATCCAGCAGGCGCGACGACTGATTCACGCGAGTCTCCTCCCCGCCGCGCGGCGAAAAGTTCTGGGCGGCCCTGGCATTCTTCGCCGGCGCAGACCCCGGCCGCGATGTGCCCCTTCGTGTTCTGCAGCACATTGACGACGACAGCGTCGAAGATGCGGCGGAGCGCCCGCGGCGCCCGCGCCGCCTCGCCGTCGGCGCGCGCCCCGCGTCGACTAAGCAACGCTTTCGCTGTCGCAGGTCTCGCCGACAAGCCACCAGCGAAGACGACTCGCGGGCCCCGCGGCGCTCCCGCAGAGGGGGTCCTTCCAGATCCCCGCGCAAATCGAAACGACGGATTCAGGTTTTGCCGCGATGCCCGATAGCTCGCCGACGGAGGCGCGCTGTCTCGCGCCCTTTCTTGCGCCGGTTCCGCGCCCGCCCGCGCTTTCGCGACCGCTGTGCTGCCAATATTGCTGCGACCGTGCTCTCGCGACCACACTGCTTGCTGCTCAGCCCGTTGCGCCCATGCTCACGCGACCGCGGTGTTGTTCGGCATGCGCTGCGCAACTTGCCTCGCAGCCTCCCCTGCGGATTTGTTGCCGGCTCGCTTGGATGATCGCGCCCATCGGCCGCCGCAAGCTTGCCAGAGAGCCTGTGACCCATGCTCTCGCGACCGCGGTGCCGCTCAGCCCGTTGCGACCATGCTCTTGCGACAACGGTGCTGTTCAGCCTGTTGCGCCAATGATCTCGCGACAACGGTGTTGCTCAGCATGCGATGTAGCGGACTGCTCTCGCGCCGCTCCGCTCATCGTGCCCATCACCCCAATCGCCGCCCATCCCAGCAGCAGCAGCTGCGTCGAGAGCAACAGTAGGAGCAGCAACGACACCATTCAGCACCAATGACATCATCAGCATCATAAACACCATCGTCGTTGCTCTTCTCTGATCGTCGTTGCCAGCTGGGGAGGCCTACAGACCTGTTTCGCGCCGGTGTTAGAATGGTGCACAGTGTTTTGTGCGGTGCGCCATTATCTTTGCGCGCGGAGCAGGAGGGCCCCGGAGCGGTGTCAACACGAGAGCGGGAGCGAAGGCGGCAGAGAAGAGAAGGAAACACAGCTTACAATAAGGCAAACACAATTAACACAATAAGTTGCACAGCTACAAGCCTGAAACAATCTGAACAAAGCATTTGTTTAGAAGACTACAGAAAGTCGCAGCGTTGCTGTAACGTTTTTGGCCAGCCGAGAGCCCAAAGTGCAAAACGGCAAGGTAAACAAGGGTGTGTCAAAGAAGAACCACGCAACAAGGGCATTTGGAGGAGGAGGGAGAGGAGGCGCACGAGGCAAGAAGCAATAATAAGGAAGAGTGGGCGGAAGAGGGAACACATCGAGAACCCCTGGAACGCGCGCGCGTTCCCGATAAGTTGCAGCTCTTGCTTGCAGGCAAAGCCCGCAAAGGCCGACAAGTCCGCGACGACCTCCCAGGAGCTGCGCTAAGGGATGGCGTGTCCGAATCTGCTCACCTGGGGCACACACTCACATGTTTTTGTTCAATCGCGGGGGGCACTGGATCGTGTGGGGGGAGAGGAATGGGGTAGGGTCGCGCTAGACGGGGGGACTGGGTGCGCGTGGGCGTGAGAACGGGCCGTCGGGCGGAGCGTCTTGGGGCGTCTATCCCCGCACGCGTTTCTGTATAACATCCTGGTTGCAGTTGTTGGGCGGGGGTGTGCCTGCAATTCCGCTTCCTCTCATTACTGTCAGGTCACCCTGCCCAGCTCTTCGCGATGATGCTTCCATGCGTTCGTTTCATTCCTTCTTCCGCCTCATCCATGATGCCACCAATATCCCCACCCGTCTTCCCATCGTCCTCTCATCCTCCCTGTTTGCCCTCATATCCCATTCCGCTGCGTCAAATCCTGGATGTAGGCAGGAGCTTCGCTCCGAAGACGGCAAACATTGTCCGATGTTCCGCCGCCACCTCCTCCTGCGCCTTTTGATGTGTGTTCCCATTCCCCGCCTCGTCCATGTTTCTGCTTCATCGTTTCCGCTTCATTATTTTAACCCGTCGCCCCGTCCTCTCATTGTTGATCGGCGTCTTTATTCCCCCCATATCCTCCCAGACTAGACCTTGTCATGCAGTTTCCTCCTGCTTATCGTTTATGTAGCCCTCTGACTGTGCCAACACCGTAGCCGTTATCATCTTCATTCTCATCTTCTTCGCCGGTTTCCCCTTCGCTCTGCAGAACGCGGGTTGCGCTTCTGAGGGGTTGCAGATGGGCCGATGGGGAGTTTTGCACGTGGCCGACGGACTTAGCTGAACAAAGACACCTGCTGGTTCGGTCCCCATGTTGGCCCAGCTGCCCTCGGCCACCGGCATCCGACAATGCTCGAGGCATCCTTTGCGGGCCAGGCAGAGCGTGTGGCGCGAGCCCCGCGGTGCGTGCGGCCGCGTCTGGCTCGTGGCCCCGGCTCCCCCCCTCTGCGTGCTCCGTTTTGGGGCGACTCGTGGACCGCGAAGTCCGCGGAGGACATCTATGCGGCGCCGTTCCTTGCCAAGGCCACCCTGGGTTCATGATGTTCCAACTTGCTTCAGCCTTGATCACCAGAAAGAAGTTCGAGCACCAGGAGAGCACGTGCTGGGCCCTGGGAGGCGATACTCGTTCGACCCTGTTTCCGTACTTTTCTGGGTGCTCGAAGTCATTCCTGGGGTTTGGTCCTCAAGTGCGATGGGAACAGCATAACCTTGGGTGAATATGGAGGAAGTCTCGAGCGAGAGCTTCGTCTGTGAGAGAATCGAGTGGAATTCTCCAGCGGGAGCCCCTCCCTCCAGGGTCCTTGCTTCCATGTTCCATGCTGAGCGGGTCATCCAAATCTTGTAGTAAGTGTCGTCATTGTTGGGTTCCTCACGCCTGCGTCTGGAGGAAGTCTCGAGTGGGAGCACCAGCAGACGATGGCACAACCATGTACATTCCTAATACAGGACAGTGTTCGTGCGATCTCAAGCCAGCGCGTGGAATCAGCCAGCCCTCGTGCGATCGCAGACGAGACGAGTTGTCGGCGTTTAACCCGAGTAAGCGATTAAGGACCCCCCCCCCCCCTCTCCGGTGAAAGGATAACGCACCGGGCACCCGGAAGCGTTATCCTGGCACCAGGAGGGGGTACAGATCGTATTCTTATTATCATTACAATTCTAATTGGGATGCCACCCGAGGCGGGGCGCTGGAATTATTTATTTTCCTTCCATTTGCGCGGTGCTAATAATATCGCTCGGCGAAAACCCCCCAAAATAATTATTTAATTACGGCGCGGTGCTTATGATAACGCCGGGGGGTTCCTTAATTGTTTCTCCGGGTTACTCGGGACGATTTATTTGTGGTCGCAGCCGTACCACGCAAATTCTGGCATTTGCAATGTGTTAATCATCGCCCGCATGTTTCCGTTTTCAGGTAAATGTCAGTGTCCAGCGCTCATTGTTCACAGTTAGACGATTGCTCGTGTTGACCATGGGCAATTAGGGCAATCGTAATCAATGTGTGGCGGGAAAAATGGAGGTGGACACGCCAGCACGCGTCAGCCTCCTGTCATATCATTTTGCGTGTTGGGTCCGCGTTTGAGGCAGGGAGGCATAGACAACCACCCAATTTCCAACCACAAGGTGTAGCTTGCGGTGGGCACTTGGCGGACAGATTTGGACGCAATCCCCCCGTCGTTGGCAATCGCGGACCGTTCTGGCGGCATTCCCAGCAGACCTCGCATGCAGGCAACGGGCGTGTGCCAGAGTACGTGCGAAATCATCTTAATTGTTGTCCCCTCAGCTGGCCAAGTTTTGAATTGGTCCCTTCGTTGTCTACCTCGCGTGGCAAACACAATATCCAGCTGCCTGCGGCCGGACCCCCTTCGTGCTAGTGCAGCCTTCTGCATCGCGACTGCTCGAGGGGGCACCCGAGACCGTCACGTGTGACCCCTCGTGTCTCCAGGCGTGGGAGAGCCGTGATAAGGATGATGAAGATGATGGGGATGACGATGATGGTGATCGATGATGCTGCTGTTGACGATGATACATTATGATGGTGATGATGAGGATGCGGAGGAGGATGAGGATGGTGATGCTGGTGATAGATATGATGAGTATACAGGCTTAGGCCACATCCGCCGACCTCTTGATTGATTGTAGTTTGATTCCCATGGTCTTTCCGGTACGTCTGTGGAGACGTTGATGTGTTTTCCAAACCATTTTGTGGTGTTGGGTCCTCGTTTTGAAGAGACGGTCCCCGCGTTCCTCTCCTCTCCTCTCCTCTCCTTCTCCTCCCCTTCCTCCCTCCTCCCCACCCATTTCGGCACACCCCTCACACGTTTCGTGGCCCCATAGGGAACTTGGAGCTCCACCGAAGGCTCCAGTGGCGGTGTTCGCATGCGCCCCCGCCACCCAGTTCGGCACAGCCCTCACACGTTTCGCCGCCCCATAGGGAGCTCCACAGAAGGCCTCAGTTGCGGTGTTCACACGCGTCCCCCGCCATCGATTTCGGCACAGCCCTCACACGTTTCGTGGTCCCATAGTAAGCTCCACCGAAGACCCCAGTTGCGGTGTTCGCATGCGTCCCCGCCACCCCCATTTCGGCATTCCCTTCGCACATTTCGTGGCCCCACAGGGAGCTCCACCGAAGGCCCCACTGGCGGTGTTCGCATGCGTCCCCGCCACCCATTTCGGAACACCCCTCACGCGTTTCGTGAACGCATATGGAGTTCCACCGCAGGCCCCAGTGGCGGTGTTCGCATGCGTCCCCGCCACCCATTCTGCCACACCCCTCAAACGTTTCGCTGCCCCCAAGGGAGCTCCACCGAAGGCTCCAGTGGCGGTGTTCGCATGCGTCCCCGCCACCCAGTTCGGCACAGACCTCACACGTTTCGTGGCCCCATAGGGAGTTCCACCGAAGGCCTCAGTTGCAGTGTTCGCACGCGTCCCCCGCCACCGATTCCGGCACACCCCTCACACGTTTCGTGGTCCCATAGTAAGCTCCACCGAAGACCCCAGTTGCGGTGTTCGCATGTGTCCCCGCCACCCCCTTTTCGGGATTCCCCTTGCACATTTCGTGGTCCCACGGGGAGCTCCACCGAAGGCCCCACTGGCGGTGTTCGCATGCGTCCCCGCCACCCATTTCGGAACACCCCTCACGCGATTCGTGAACGCATATGGAGTTTCGCCGCAGGCCCCAGTGGCGGTGTTCGCTTGCGTCCCCGCCACCCATTTTGTCACACCCCTCAAACGTTTCGCTGCCCCATAGGGCGCTCCACCGAAGGCTCCAGTGGGGGTGTTCGCATCCGCCCCCGCCGCCCATTTCGGCATACCCCGCACACGTTTCGCCGCCCCATAGGGAGCTCCACAGAAGGCCTCAGTTGCGGTGTTCGCCTGCATCCCCGCCACCCATTTCGGCACACCCTTCACAGGTCTCGCTGCCCCATAGGGAGCTCCACCGAAGGCTCCAGAGGCGGCGTTCGCATGCGACCCCGCCATTCTGGCACACCCTTCACACGTTTCGTGGCCCCACAGAGGAGCTCCATCGCAGGCCCAGTGGCGGTGTTCGAATGCGTCCCTGCCACCCCCTTTCGGCATACCCTCTCACAGGTTTCGTGGCCCCATAGGGAGTTCCACTTAAGGCCACAGTGCGCATGTGCCCCCGCTTCCCATTCCAGCACACCCCGCACACGTTTCGTGGTCCCACAGGGAACTCCACCGATGGCCCCCAATGGCGGTGTTCGCATGCGTCCCCGCCGCCCATGTCGGCACACCCCTCACACGTTTCGTGGCCCCACAGGGGAGCTCCATCGCAGGCCCCAGTGGTGGTGATCGAATGCGTCCCTGCCACTCTCTTTCGGCATACCCTCTCACAGGTTCCGTGGCCCCATAGGGAGTTCCACCTAAGGCCAGACTGGGGGTGTTCGCATGCGCCCCCGCTTCCCATTCCGGCACACCCCTCAAACTTTTTGCTGCCCCATAGGGAGCTCCACCGAAGGCTCCAGCGGCGGTGTTCGCATGCGTCCCCGCCACCCATGTCGGCACACCCCATCACACGCTTGGTGGCCCCATAGGGAGCCCCACCGGAAGTCCCAGCGGCGGTGTTCGCATGCGCCCCCGCCACCCATGTCGGCACACTCCTCACACGCTTCGTGACCCCACAGGGAGCTCCACCGAAGGCGAGACCCACAACTGCGTTAGTCACAACTGCAAATTGTTGGGTCCGTCGCCAGGCTAATTTTTTGGGGCGGCAGCGGAAGGTTTGATCAGGTTTCCTCTGGCGTTTTGGAGCTCGTTCTGGAGCCGCCGCGGGGGTCTTCTTCTCCGGTGCCGTCAGGCTTGGGACTCGTGGGCCGTACTCTTGGGCCGTCTTAGATTAGTCATGGGGGCGCCTATCCTGAGCCTCCGTCGGTGCTGGGGAATTGCAAGCGGCGACGGTGAACACATACATGGGGTCCTATGCGGCCCATCT